CACCCCCACATATGCCTGTGTGCCTGGAAGGGCAGCTGATGTGTTTTCCACAGAGCAACAAACCAAGTGCAGGCGAGACCCCTAAGCAGGGGAGACAGAAGACAGCACTGGGTGGATTTGTTGCAAGTGGAGCCAAACCAGAGAGGGCAGAAGACTCTGCAGGAACAGATTGAGCGGGTCGGGGGTGGAAGGCTGCAGTGTGGGGCCAGGGCCTGGCCAGGAACGGTGCCGAGGGGTTCTTCCTCGGGTCGCTGCCAGCTGGCTTCTCTGGACCGCCGGCTAGGGCAGCCCCAGGGAGCGATGGAGTGATGGAGAGTCTGAGAGACTCGCATGAGGCCCCTCTGCATTTTTATGCTGCGTCTGGAAACTGTAGTGGTATCTACAGTCTTGGGGCTCAACCAGAAATAGCCCCTTTTGGTCGCGACACAGTTTCCAAGCGTGCGGGCAAGTGTGTATCCACAAGAGAGGCGATGGCTTTGAGACACTTTTGACTGACTGCCCATAAGTCATGCTCCCCTGCGGACTTCCACATCCCTCGCTTGTGGTGCGGGAGTCCAACCTCGCCCTTTCCCTTGTTGCAAACCTCTGAATCCTGGGCTCGGAATGATACTTGTGCCTTTGGGAAAACCCTGAGAGGACTGCTAGTTACATGACTGTTCAGTTTCCATACTTATAATCTTAGGTCGTTCCCTGCTGGATATGACCAGGATGACTTCTCAAGCCAGCGTGCCCGTCTGCCCCTGCTGAGCGCCTCCTGTGCCTTGCCGGCCTCGGGTGGGAGCAGCTTCTGGGGGTCTCCAAGAGGGACGCCCCTCCCTCGCCAGCCAAGGCAGTGCGGTGTAGCGGGCAGAGCGCTGAACTCGGGTCGAGGAGACCTGTCTCATCGTATCTGGGAAGCTAAGCAGGGCCAGCCCTGCCAGTACTTGGAGGGGAGGCCACCCAGGAAGAAGTCCCGGGTCGCAACATGCAGGCAGGCAGTGGGCAGGCCGCCTCTGAACCGCCTCTTGCCTTGAGGACCCCGCCAGAGGTGACCAGAGGTCAGCTATGACTTGACAGGGGGGAGCGGTCATGGGGTCTGCTGGTCTGCTGGGAAATGCCAGGATTGGCTCTTGGTCTTAATAAAAACAGCCTCTACTCCCCGTATGTATGGCTGCGAGAGTTGGACTATAAGGAAGGCCGAAGAATAGATTATTTTGAACTATGGTGCTGGAGAAGACTCTTGAGAGTCCCTTGGACTGCAAGGAGATCAGATCAGTCAATTCTAAAAGAAATCAACCCTGACTGTTCCCTGGAAGGCCAGATACTGAAACTGAAGCTCAAATACTTTGGCCACCCAATGAGAAGGGAGCCCTCACTAGAGGAGAAGACCCTGATGCTGGGAAAGACTGAAGGTCAAAGAAGACGGGGACGGCAAAGGATGAGATGGCTAGACAGTGTCATAGATGCAACGAACATGAAGTTGAGCCAACTTCAGAGGACGGCGGAAGACCGGAAGGCCTGGCGTGATCTGGTCCATGGGGTCGGACTCGACTGTGCGACTGAACAACGAACAACAAAGCTCCCCGTATATCTTCCCTCTAACATACGCGGTATCTTCAGGTGCCCTGTAATTGCAGGGAGGCATTGTTATCTGGAGGCTAGAGTTTGTACCCCATTGTGAAACCTATGTTATGAGCCTACTCACAGTGACCTGTGTACGTCTCTTGCTCACTCGTGCTCACAGCTGTGCGTGTGCACGTGCACGGCACCAGGTCAGTTGCTGGCCTGAGTGTTCTTGTTGTTTTTTTTTAAAAAAGAGCCAGGTGTTCTGCTCCGCCTCCAAAGGATTGCTTTGGGCCATCGATCCCTTCGCCCCCATTAGCCCCCCCACCCCCGTGGGAGAAACCGGAGTGGCGGTGGCAGGCACCCAGGCACCTTGGTTAGGACTGGGAGCGTGGATTCCCGGAGCCCCCGCCCAGCTGTGACTTGTGCAGAGCCCCCAGATCCACAGGACGTTACCAGGGAAAATCCACTTCAGCTGTAACATCCCAAGTGGCGATACCAAGTGGCCGGGGCAGGGGTGGGGGCAGCGGCAGCGGCGCAGAGACTTTCGTGAGCCTCTCTGGGGTGCGCTGCAGGCTACCGTCTCAGAGGCCCCAAAGGCCCAGGTCAGCGTCCCTTAGCTCTGCCTTGGAGCATTCACACCTGTTTCCCACTCCGCACTACAGGCGTAGCTTGAGCTGCAAGATGTCGGGGTTTTCTTTATAACGGGGCGGCTCTGGCATCCTAGCAGGCAGCCTTTCGGCCCACCTGATCTCCTTCCTGGCCCCGACTCCTCCGCTGTGAGCACAACGCTCCTTTTAAAGCATGGAGCTGGGACAGGCCGGGCAGCCGCTCGGAGCGAGATGGGTGAGCGCACCCTCTTGGATCCAAAGGCAGCAGAACACATCTTAAGTTTAAATATTTACTTTAAGCCGACAGGCGCAGGCGCAGAAGGCAGCATCTCTGTGTAGCTGTGCTCTGTGACTGAGCAGAGTGAGTTCCAGACCGTGTTCCAGGGAATGCTGGCAAACTCCTGCCTTAGACGTCTGTCGGAGGGATGTCACCGGGAGGCTGACGGCTGACAGATTGCCCAGAAGTGAGCCTGGCTTTGCCGCCTCTGAACCTCCCCTTGTAAGGAGGCACCGGAGCTGCGGGGAGGGCTGGCTGTGTCTGAGTCAAGTCCAGTCAAGCCAGGATGTCCCCGTTCCAGAACCAGAGCGCTCAGTGCGCAAAGGTCCGCCTGGCATCTGGGTTCTCCTTTGGCTTCCACAGAAGTCAGCCGCTCATCTGTCAGGTGAAATAGCAGCTAACAGCCAGCCAATGGGGGGGGGAGACACCTACCTAGCCAGAGGTTGGGGGAGGCCGCCCCCAGCTGTGGAGTTTACTGCACGAAAGGCATTTGCACGAGTCCCTGCTTAAAGGACCATGTGCACTATAAACTGCTTGCAGGCACTTCCTGCAGCCGTTCCAAGTGTTCCCGGGAGGTTTTTCCTGATTGCAGGCCAATATCCCAGCCACATGCCAAGTAGGGGCAGATCCCGCAGTTAGTCCTGTAATGAGCGGCTGGTGCAAATGGATCGAAAAGGAAACCAGAATGACTGAACCTGGCGGCAGTTTCCCCAGCTTATCCAAAGAGAGAGAGGGGGGAATAAAGTGGTTTCGCTGCTATACTGGGGGCGCCAGTCCTTCGAGCCCTGAGTTTCTCTGGGCTTGGGAAATGGGTGGGGTGGGGGGACGGAGCATATGAGGAGAATATTCACTACCACAAGCCAAATTCTGGCATATCTGGGGGAGGCGGTAGGTAAAATATCACCAAACAAAATCTGTGCGTGTGCGTCACGACGCCCAGCGCCTCTTCCCAGGCGTCTGTCGTTGTTGTGCACTTGCCGTGTTTGCTCTTTCTGGGGTCATTTCTTTGCCCCAAGCACATCCCGGGGAAGCATTTACCGTCTCACGGACACCCCTTGATTTGGCCAGCCTGTGGAGAACTCCACACGTCCCTCTCGCCAACCAGTTCCCTACCCACCTAACTATCCTACAGTCCAGTCCACAATCCCTTAGTTCACCCATCAGAACATCACGGAGAACCCTGTCAAAAGTTTTACTGAAATCCAGGTAAACAACATCAGCAGCATTCCCTCGGTCCAGTAAGCTTGTCACTCGATCTAAGAAGGAAATGAGGTTGGTCTGGCAGGGGACAAATCTGTCCTGGCGTGTTGACTTCCCCGGATCACCAAGTTGTCCTTTAGATGCTCGCAGACTGATCCCTTTCAAATGTGCTCCAGTCTCTTCCCTGGGACAGAAGTCAGACTGACTGGCCTGTAGTTTCCTGGATCTTCCCTCCTCCCCTTTTTTTGAAAATTGGGATAACATCGGCCCTTTTCCAGTCTTCTGGGACGTCTCCAGTCCTCCAAGAGGTCTGGAAGATGATGGACAAAGGCTCTGCAAGCTCTCCAGAAAGTTCTTTGAGCACTCTTGGGTGCGTACCATCTGGCCCAGGGGATTTATACTCATTCAATGCAGCCAGGTGTCAGAGCCCACAGCTAGCAACAAAGTACACGCATTCAGGAACGGTTATACTTTTATTGCAAAGCTATAGATGCAGTACCACAGGCACTGTTAGGAATGGCGGCAATCAATAGAACCAAATAGGATATAGGGTATTCATATGCACACACACACACCCCCGTGGCATGGGCCAATAAGGTACCCTCCCGCACGCGAGCTGAGTTAGGAAACCGTTAGGTGGCGAAAGCTGGGAACCAGGAGTCTCTCACGGTGGATGGGAGACTTCCAGACAATACAACGCCCTCCTGCACATCTGTAGATAAGCGTTACAGCCAAGGGAGAACAGCAGGGAAAGGAATGCAATAGCAATTAACAAGACACGGAATGACCTCCCCAACCCCCATAGCAGGAGAGCTGACACCAGGTGCTTCTCAGCTACCCCTCTGTCCATGTCAACCAGCAGCCCAGACACTGTGACTTGCCTACTACCAACTTCAGATAAGCCTGTTCTCTCTGGGGTAAAAATTGAGGCAAAATGGGTATTGAGCCTTTCCGATTCGTCAGCCACCTCTCAAGAGGACAGAGAGTCACGTTCTGCCCGGAACAAGGGCGACCAGGGAGACTTTTCGTCCTGGAGTTCTTCCTTCAGAGCGGGAGGCTTTGCCTCCTGGGATTGCAACCCAGCTGCCTGGCCAAGGAACAGGGAATGTCTTCTTCTGCTGTTGTGGTAGGAAAGGCTTCTGCTGAGGGCTGGAGGGCTCTGCACCGTGGGGTCTGAAAACTCTTTGCAGAAGCCCAGA